TTTTTTTTTCAAATTTCAATTTCCGAATAATGGAACAAAATTGACTCCATAAAGTTTGACCTTAATTGGATTAAAGGCCATGAAGGCAATAAAATCTGGGGCCAGGCGAGTAATATGATTATAGAAGGGGAAAAAATAAATTATATACATTTTTTATTTTGCCAAAATCACACATCCTTGAATTAAACTGTAGATAATAAAAAAATATAATTTTTTTTCTTTATTCAAGTCATAAAAAGTGAATAGTAAGTTAGTGGTCACTGGTTGTTTTAATGGGTATAAAATGAAATATACATGATGGTGATAGAAAACCACAAAAAACCCCACAAACATATTTTTATATCAATCCCCCATCAACCACGTTTCACCTAAATTAAATTACGAGTCTCTTATTAACCCTTTACTTTCCAGGCGTATGAAGATTCAAATAAGAGAAAACTTTCAACATAAAGAAAACCCGACCCACGTTAAGATCAGGAAGCTTCCATCGTCTTCATACTTCAAAGGAAAACAAAAGCAAATTTTAAGAAGAATCAAAGAGTGTTTTTGTGGAAGAGGGCAGCTTTGCTCCAGCAGAACCAGTTCCTCCATTCCTGCTGCTCACCGTAGATTTGTGCTCCTAAAGCGGCGCCCGGACCTCCTCCAGGAGTCACTACCTGGACCTGCGGTCCTTTCTGTTCTTGTCCAGGTTTTTGTCCATAGTTTTTTCGTTGTCCCCCCTACATTTGGGGCAGTACCACTTCCCCTTGGGTTTGTAGGTGAGTCCCACGCAGGAGAAGTGGAACCACTCGATGTGGCACTGCTCGTTGTCGCAGCCGATCATCTCGCCGTAGGACACCTGCTCGCAGAGGCAGTAGGTGGGCTCGTTGGGGTCGATGGTGAAGTCCACCGGCGAGGCGTCCCGCTCCTGCTTGGATTTACGTTTCTTCTTCTTGGACGACTTGGATTTCTTTTCCCGCGGCGGGGGCAGGGGCAGTTCGTCCGCGGGGTCGTCCACCAGCGAGCCGTTGGCGGACAGCTGGGCGGAGTCGCGGCTCTCGCTGTTGCGCGGGCGTCTCGGGCGGCGGTTGGAGGTGCGCTCGGGGGCCGGGGACTCCTGGATGCTGGATCGGCGCTCGGGGTTGATCCGCTCGGCTTCGCTGGGCTCCTGGAGGCAGAGCGAATGAGAGTCCATCTGGCGGGAGCGGTTTTCCACCAGCTCCGTCATCTGAGTCACTACGTGGATTTTCTCGTCGCCCAGCTCCTGGCTGAGGA